ATGAGGGTATATAAATTTACTTGATTATAGTAACCATTTCACCATGTATAAGTTTATCAAAAATCACTTTGTCCATGTTAAATATAAGCAATAAAAAAGAAAAAAGTGATATTTAAAAATTTCTGTAGCTTTAGGGGCACAAATGGTTTTTGGTTATATGGATGTATTGTATAGTAATGAAGTCCAGGTTGTAAGTATACCCATCACCCCCACCTGTGCACACTACCCGACAGGTAAATTGCCATCCCTCTTCCCTTCCCCACTATCCCCCTTTTGGGTTTCCAGTGTCCATTTTACCATTCTCTATGTTTTTGCAGATCCTTAGTCTAGCTCCCACTTATAAGTGAGAACATGTGGTATTTGATTTTCTATTTCTGCGTTATTTCACTTAGGATGATGGTCTCCAATTCCATCCAAATTGCTGCAAAAGACATTATTTCATTCTTTTTTATGACTGAAAAGTATATGTATGTACATATCACATTTTCTTTATCCACTGATCAACTGATGGACATTTAGGTGGATTCCATATCTTTGCAATTGTGAATTGTGCTGTGACAAACATAAACATATGAGTGCAGGTGTCTTCTTTGTATAATGATCCCTTTTCCTTTGGGAAGATAGCAAGTAGTGGGATTGCTGGATCAAATAATAGATCTACTTTTAGTTCTTTGGGAAATCTCCATACTGATTTCCATAGAAGTTGTAAGAAAAAAAGGATATTATAAAAAACATAATAAGCTCCCATTTAATGGTGAAATATTGAAATATTTTCCTCTGAGGTGAAGAAAAATACAAGAAGGTACACTATTACCACATCTTTCCAACATTTTATTTGCAGTCCTAACTAGTGCATTAAAGACAAAAAGAAAAAAAGAAGAAAAGTAAGGAGAGAGGGTGGAAGGAAGAAAAGAAGAAAGGGAGTTTGGGAAGGAAGGAGAGCAGAAGAAAGGAAAGATAATGTAAGAGAAAGAAATTTTAAAAGAAAAGCCATAGGAACTGTTAAGAAAGAAATAAAACTATCAGTTTCAAGTAAAATTATTTCTGTACATAGAATATTTTTAAAATTCTAGAGATAAATTATTAAAATCAATAAGTAAGTCAAGAAAGACTTCAGGATATAAGACAAATGTAAAATGATATAAAACCAATAATATTTTGATTTGCCAGCAACAAAGAAGATGAACATGAATACTTAAAAAGATACAATTTTAGTGGCATTAAAAATAATCAAATACCAGCCGGGCTCGGTGGCTCAGCATGTAATCCCGCGCCTTTGGGAGGCTGAGGTGAGTGGATTGCCTGAGCCCGTGGG